TGTTTTTTAGTCCAGAAGTTCAAGCATAGTTTTGGGTAAATTTTGATTCGAAGCATGTTTGGGCGGAGAATCTTGTTCTGTTGAAAAGCCCCCCTGCCATGCTAATATCACATATTAAAGGACTGTAATATACATGAATCAGATAATGTGTAGGCTGAGTCGCCATAACAATTTGTAGCAGTCATTTCAATTATCGTTCAAGCTGCTCGCATTGCCAAATATCCAAAAATCCACCTTTCCGTACACAACGAAAACAACAGTGGATTAGGAAACCAGGCTCTGCATTTCCATATAGTTGCATGCAAAGTTGAGAAACTCTTTAAATGTCTTGTCTACCTACTTCACGTGCCCTCAACGGCGATTTCGAGGCAAACTAAGCCAATCACCCCTTCCCCAGCTATACTTTAACTCTAGAAATGTACGATAAATAACAAGATAAAAAAAACCTGACAGTACATCTACGCGAGTAAGAAAATAAAGAATATTTATTTAAAAGTAATAATTTAATTTCGTTTATTTTCTTAATTTGACTTCAGTTTTTACTCTTCAACTCTACTTGTGAGTAAATTCATTCAATTAGTGAATTGATTTTGAGCGTATATGATGATTTTGCTCCAATGAAATATGAAGATAACGAACAGTATTTAATCTCAAAAGTCCATTGAAACGATACAAATTAGGAGCAGAGCAAACACGGAATTCAAAATTTAGAGGTGGGATCAGGTGCCATGGAGACGTGAGCATCCCCTACCAACCGGTCACACCCATCGTTTGCTCCTTGTCATAATCGGGGAAAAACGGAAAAATCCGGAGACAGTTCAGTGTATAAATAATGGCCTAACAATTAGTATGAAAAACTTCAGTCAGCATTTGACTTAACGATAGCTAGTATGTGCTGACAAGGTCATTGTATTGACCGTAAAACTTGCGAAAAGATGACTTCAAATGAGACTATTGATATCCTTCTTTCATCAATTTTTTTGTCAATAGCTTGCCTCGTTTTAAAAATTGTTCATACATACAGCATGCTCTTGCGTATCGAATGAACTGAGAGACATTAACCCCATTTGCAGGTGATAAGGGTATATTGCTGCATAAGTAAGGGAAGTTGATGATTGAAAAGTTGAAGTCATCACATTTATCGTAAAGCTTTGTTGTTAGGTTACCACTAACGTCTTTTTCTAATAAAATATCTTGATATGAAACAGATGTGTCAGTCTTTGGTATCTTTTATTTCAAGCTAATTGTTAATTGATAATACGTCGTCGATATATCGAATTGTTGATTTGAAGGCCACTGCAAGTGTTGTCGTCTTCTCATGTAGAAGTTTTTGAATAAATTCTGCTTCATATGAATACCAAAATAGGTCTTCTAATAAGGGGTACCCATGGGAATCCAAGCGGTGTAAGAGTAATTGATTTATGATTTAACACCGTTGGCCGCAGACAAAAAAGAAGAGAATAAGTGCCCATATTTACACTGACCACTGCAATTTACATTTAATGTACAGGTTGTACCTTATTCTGTTCCAATGCCTAAGACATGTATACATTAAAGACAAATCACAGGGTCAATCTTTGTTATTCGATCAATTGAATGTGTGGGAAACGTAAAGCAGCAGAAATATTTGGAACTTTGATTTCGTATACGTGTTTTTTTTTTTTTTTTTTTTTTTTTTTTTTATGCAAAATGCAATGTGTGTACGAATCAAGTAGTGAGTGAAACCCAGAACATTTGCCAATAGAATATGTTCAGTTCATTGCAGAATGTTTATTTCCTGCACTAAAAAGAAAGAAAGAAAATTGCGAAATCCATTTAGGGTGAGATAAACATGCATCGGTCATGATCGGACACATACCTTGCTTCGGACAAATTTAAGCAATAATCTTGCATCCAACCTGAATGTCTCCGTGTTTGGACTTTTCTGTCTTAAAGCCGAAGATTTGAATTTTTTAATGATGCCGATTTTTTATTTCATGTTATGATATATTCCAAGATAATAGCCTTGAAGTGACGTCATAATTGACAGCATCAAAAAGGTATAACCATAATTTTTTTTGTTATTTCGTAAATCTTTAGAGTTGTTTTTCTTTCATTAGACTTCAAGGGAACTAGTCTGTCTTGGGAGAATTTTGTTAATAATTGATAGTTTTATAGAAAATTTCAAGAAATGTCATTTAAAAAATTGTTTGTCCCATTCAAGAATTTTTCACTCATATGGAGATGCTACCAATTGCTGGTGGAGGGCTTCAAATTTTGACCTATACTCGGCACTTAGGGCCATTGAGCAGTGAGGGATCTTTTTCGTGCCAGCACCTACAGCTACACGGGACCTCGGTTAATACGGTCTCATCCGAAGGACCGTTATCCACGTCCCGAAGTGGGTTCTAACCCGCGACGTAAGGATAAACTTCTTACAACGCGACTCTAGAGCAAACGCTCTAACCACTGCGCCACGCGGGCGACTTAATTTTTTTTTAATCTTCTTAGAGCTGTTTAAAATAGTTTGTTTATTTCACCATGCATCGGACACAATTTCACAATGTCCGATGCATGGATAATTACTTTTTGTATAGAGATATTTGCATACCTAACGTAATGGCTGTTTTTGCAGAAATTAAAAAAAAAATAAACTCAACATATTCATGGAAAATACAAATTATTGATATATGACAACTAAAGCAGACTCTCTTTAATTCTTCAAACTGTAAGAGCTATGATCCCCCGAAACCAAGCTTTAAGGGGCACGAGGCACTGCGAGGCCTATCTAAGGAGATGTGATGCAACTAACATATCTCCACATTTGTGGATCGATAAAGTCAATCAAATTAAAAGAGAGAGTTAATTTTTAAATTAAACATAACAATATTTTCATGTCACTAATTTTTAAGCATTTTAGGCATTGAAAAGCCACCGCAATAAAGGTAGTACGTTTTTCCTGTTCAATATATCGTTTGTCCGAAGAATGGTGAATACTGTCCGATCCATAGTGAATTCTGGCTCCTTCCAAAAAATTCTTTTTTAAAAATATTTTCTCAATCCATAGCATACAATTGCATCACAAATTCATATTTTAATCACATTATACATGTTTATCTTCATTTTGATAATATTCAGTGGGTAGGGTTATCTCTAGAACTTGTTAAAGTTCGAGGGTGTCCGATCCATGGTGAACTCACCCTGGTTCATAATCTGAGCAGTCTCCTCACTATGAGGGCGCAAACTAGTTTAGATCAACAGTATTAATCAAATTTCCATACAAAGCGTGTTAGTTAAGCATTTTCTCGGGCATTTTCTCTGATATCAATTTTTAGGCAGCCACAAATCAAATGTAGGAAGAAATTTTACTCGTGCGTATGTACACTTTTTATGATAATTTGAATAATTGTAAAACCATTATGATAGAACTGTATTTTTAACCAATCAAATTAAACTTCGTGAATCATGAATCGATGTTATTCTAATTTGCTGCAAGACCATTTAAAAAAATGAACTATATGAATAATAAATATGATTTTTACATGGCAATTATTCTTAACAATTCTAAGATATATTTTGTTCAATCAAACTTAAAAACGTCAGAATGATATTTGCAGCAAATGCCAATTTTCATTTTTTGCAAATCATAGAAGTCTAAATAAAGGACTATAGCATACATGTATATAGAGGGCATTCAATGTTTCTTGAGTAGGACAGCATTTTATTTTGATATTTTCACGAGTGTGAAGTACAAGATAAATTATCCAAAACAAAACAAAAAATCCTGTGTAACGAGTGAAATAAATTCCAAATTCAACTAACAAATATTGAATTTTCTGTTTATTACATTTTCTTTGATTTTCCCTTTGCCTCTGTCTTCTCGTAACACAGTGTGATTACTTTGAGTAGTCATAGCTTAGAGTTTGCGAGATTGTAAACATCATAGATTTCAACGACATATTTCGAGAAATTCGGAAGTTTTAGTTTCTGTTAGGATGATTTTTTTTTTTACTTTTTCTATCTTCTAACAGGCAACATTCTCTGTGAACGGAAGATTAAATCGAGAGTTTTACCGCACTTCTAATATTCTTTCACACTGTGACAAAATATCACTTTTCTTCAAAATGTAAACCACAGCATTTCACTCTTGAAAATGTAATAAAGTAAACATCTATCATCTTTAAACATTGCTCACGATAAGAATGTGCTTTTTTTCGAAAAATAGGCTTAAAATTATGCATAATCGATGTTAAAAAAAAATTAAATATCAAAGTACAGATGTATACATATATAAGGTAGGAAAATCCTTTTATACATTCTATGCTGATAACATGTGGCACATATACATGAACATAAAAAAGGTGGGAATCTCTTTTCTCAGAATGCATTGAATTGGGAATAACATCAAAAATCCTTTTAAAGAACACCTCAGAAAATACAAGCCATATAAAATCACAAGGATGTAGATACAAGTTATAATTTCGTCAGAAGGTTGAGAAAGATGAGGTTTATATTGCTATTGTGTTCCTTGTCACTGTACGTGTATTACACTGAGGCGTGCACCTGTCTCCCTATACCTCCGAATGGATGTAGTGCTGACTATTGTATGTCATGTTTAAACGATTTCATCCTATTATTTTTGTTCTTTTGAAAAAAAAATGTAATAATGTCCAATTTTAAAATTTATAAGAGGTTTGTAAACTGTCAAAAAAGGACAATAGATAAATACATATTTAATGTCGATAAACATTAATTTCATGTGAAAATGAATGATATGAGATTAATGCTATTTTTCAACCTTAAATTAGGAATGATTAGAAAATATCGAAGAACATATCTTGAAATAAAATGTGAATAATCGAAGATAAATTTTGTTACTTATTGTAAAGCACTCTTATTTACATGTTGATTTCTCTTACCAAAATGTAACAATTATTTTCGTATTTAAAAAAAGTTTGATAGACAGTGCAGTAGAATTTTTAAAGGATACAAAAAGCTGTAAATACGAATGTTTGTATGTTCAAAGCAATCCTTGGATATGTTGTTGGAGTTCGGAGAATAGGAAAAGCACCAGGGGATAGAAATATCTACACAGTAGTAGTACAGCGTGTCTTTAAGGTATTTTTCTTTGATTGATTAATTGATTGATTGATTGATTGTGTTTCTTGTTTTACGTCACTCTTGAGAAAAGACAGAAATCTATCTTTAGGCTTAACCGTGTATTCATTGTTGAAATACATACATACTCGTAATAGTGGGGGAGCATTAATTCAAGGAGCTTTTATTCAATGTATCAAATATTTACAATGTGGTTATATTTCTAATTATGTCACCACTACAGTGGTAATACGGAAATGCATGAGGGCCTTGAAAAAAATATGTTGGGTGAGGCCTAATTAAGATTCCTGTAGATGGTTTTTTTGTTATTCATTTTTTATCTGAGCGAAGCAAACTATTCCTTGACAATGAAAAGAATAAGGAATTTCATATTGTGATAGTAGGGCACGTAGAGAGGTATATTGATCTGATATCTGGTCAGCTGGTCACGTGGATGGGGCATATTAACAATATCATGTCAGTAGACAGGATGATATGCTTTTATACATAATTTCCTCTTAACAAATGGCATTTAATGGCAGTCCTTCCTTTCCATGAATTTAATGTTTATTTTTTATGTGGCTGCTAAGATATCGTTTGGTATCTTCGAATTTCATATTCTTGCATTTAGTCAAAGAAAAACACATACAGTGAATAGATAAAATCCAATGTACGAGGGTTATCCCTAAAAAACGCGAACTTTTTAAATATCTCATAAAGTACATGACGTACCTAAAGTACCTGACCAAACTTATTTATTTTTGCACATGTTGGATAACAATATTTTTGTAAGTTTGACTTAATGCTATGAGGTAGTAATTTCGTTTGCATTGGAAAAAGGCATTTAAAGAGTATCGAAGAAAGATGGTCGGCGCACCGAATTTTTTTCACTTAAAAATTATCAGCGATGTTTTATTTGTAACCGGATTAAAGGAAATTAAACGTGATAAAATTTACATCGGCAAAAACTCTACGATCCTTGGTACTTCCCTGTGAAAATGCATCAATTTTAGATCAGAAATGGCAATTATGTGACGTTATATGTACAAACGCTTTGCAGTAGATATTGCCAAAAATGGCGACGTCTGGTGATAATGTGGCGCACCAAATTATCATTCAGTATTGTGTTAAGCGGGTTAGGACCCTTGTCCATACCGGAAAAGAGATGGTAATGCTTGAACGACACAAACACGTGTTTTGGACACTGGTTAATACCTGTTTTAAAAGATTCAATGATTGTTGGACTGGTTATCCAATGGAGGAGGTGTTGGTAGAAAATGTTGACAAACTGAATAGTCCGGGAATCAGAGGTCATACATGAAGACCGCCGTTTTAACTTCTCTGGAAGTTGGGAAATAGTCTATTCAAAGAATCTATTATGCGATCTTTCGATAACTCTAGAGTGTGTGAGAGAAATACACTCGATTACTAGCTAAAAATCAAATGAACTGTCCAATTTCTGCCTCAAACGAAATTTTACAACTTTCTAGAAAAGAAACACAATTCCTGAACAATTTCACAAACGCTATGAACTACGTTTTGACGTCGTCGGTGTTACGCCGACAGTCATAATGTAAGATCAGTTTAACTGGAAGTAAAATGTTATTTATATAGATATTTTATTGAAATTCATATGTAGCATTCAAAAAATGTTGATTATGGTGCATGATTATTTTCCATTTATAGCATGTTCTCGTTTTTCTGGGACAATCCTCGTATGCCATGATGAAAACAGCGTATTACCCTAACTACTGAATAAAACACTGATTGCTCTTTAGTTTAATGTCAGCCATATCGTGAATCACATAAAAGTGGTCGATAATAAAAATAATAATACATTTTTAACTTTGTTTAAAGAAAAGTGTTGTTATACGAGTAATGTTTTATGCAATTTCTCTGGAAAAACATGACATTAATAGTAACACCATGGAATATTGAGGTTTGATGGCTTAGAACATTATCATTGTGTGATGGAACTAATATATATGATGTTTTCAGAGAATTGAGTAACGCTGGATTTGAAAGATAAATTAAGTTTTATTTTGTATATCAATTGGAAGTTTAACAAAACTGTCCAAATAGTAGAATGGTCGCTCAGAACATGTAATCAGTTTTGTCCGATAATCAATTTCAACACATTGGACAGAGGTGTTGTAAATCTCACAATTTAGATATCCTCTATCTACAATAACAGTAAAAAATTCCTATATACATCGTTTCAGGATAACATGCAGTGAAGAAAAACTTCATTTGGATAAATAATTGTCATGTTATTTGCAGAAATTTGAAGACATGATCACGAAGGAGTTTTTGGATTAAATTCGCTCATTGATTCTATAGAGTGAACATTTTTTAATCAAAAACTACAAGCAGTTCCTCTACTGTAAACCTCTTTTTATTCACGAGAATTTTTTTTTTCAAGAAATAATCCGAGATTTCCTGCTTATTTATTTGTATTACTAAAGATTATATAAAATGATGACTCAAGTTCATGAAAATTTTGAAATTTTGTCTCGCATATAAATACATTATAACTATATCCCGCCAAAATTCGATGCCCGAAAAAAATTGTCATCTACAGTATTTGATTATCTATTTATTTATTTATTTTAATCATTATACTGGTGTTTCGATAATTTAGGTAAACTAATCTATTCTATTTTATCCTATGAAAATAAATATGTACTGATTTTTAAATTATAATTACAGAGAACCAGATATCTAAAGTATGTGATTCGAATAGAATCCAATGTCTCCAGTGCTGCTTGTGGTGTTAATTTACAAGTGGGAAAAACTTACGTCATTTCCGGTAATATTAACCAAATTAAAATTAGCTGTATGATATTTACAAATATGGGATTGTTTCATCTCCTTTAAAGCTGATTTTGTAAAGTTAACATTATAAAAAAAGAGGCGTTATATAGGATTATAAATGCTTGTATTTTCTTCAAATCATTTCACTTGCCTTTTTAAAACCAATTTTAAGAATATAAATTTTGAGCTGAGAATGTATATAACTATAAAATGAATATATGATAATTCTGCCGAACACATGCATTAACAGTATACATCATTCAATTAACATTATAGGTAGTGCAAATAAGTACAGATTTTCAACCAACTCTTGCCAGTTCATCCGTGAATGGAGAAGAATCCCTCTGTCACAAAGGAAAGGACTATTCTGTAGAAAAAGTTGGTGAAGTTTGTTTCTGCTTTGAAATATGTCATCTTTGCAAAATGCATGAACTATACATATAAGAGATAAATATAAAGTATGCAGGTGTCCTACAATCTATGACCATGTGCCTCTGTACGTGTTGTATCTGATCTCAATCCTGTATCTATGACCATGTGCCTCTGTACGTGTTGTATCTGATCTCAATCCTGTATCTATGACCATGTGCCTCTGTACGTGTTGTATCTGATCTCAATCCTGTATCTATGACCATGTGTCTCTGTACGTGTTGTATCTGATCTCAATCCTGTATCTATGACCATGTGCCTCTGTACGTGTTGTATCTGATCTCAATCCTGTATCTATGACCATGTGCCTCTGTACGTGTTGTATCTGATCTCAATCCTGTATCTATGACCATGTGCCTCTGTACGTATTGTATCTGATCTCAATCCTGTATCTATGACCATGTGCCTCTGTACGTGTTGTATCTGATCTCAATCCTGTATCTATGACCATGTGCCTCTGTACGTGTTGTATCTGATCTCAATCCTGTATCTATGACCATGTGCCTCTGTACGTGTTGTATCTGATCTCAATCCTGTATCTATGACCATGTGCCTCTGTACGTGTTGTATCTGATCTCAATCCTGTATCTATGACCATGTGCCTCTGTACGTGTTGTATCTGATCTCAATCCTGTATCTATGACCATGTGCCTCTGTACGTGTTGTATCTGATCTCAATCCTGTATCTATGACCATGTGCCTCTGTACGTGTTGTATCTGATCTCAATCCTGTATCTATGACCATGTGCCTCTGTACGTGTTGTATCTGATCTCAATCCTGTATCTATGACCATGTGCCTCTGTACGTGTTGTACCTGATCTCAATCCTGTATCTCATCAGTAGAAAAAGTTTAAAGAATGTCTTGTTCTCATACACATATTGCTTTGTATTTTGCATCTTCAAATATGATAATTGTTTTCTAGGATACCTGTTTCAGAAGAAAAGCAGCTGGCATAATGGTCAATATAGACCTTGGTGGAATAGAACATAATTTATTGAATTTGGTCTCCTAAGATTAATAAAATTGAAAATTTAAAAGAGACTTTTTGTAATTAAGACAAGTAAAACACCATTTTTATTATTATAGGATTTATGGTGAATGTCTTATATGCTTCACTTGCTAAATAAAATGCGTAAAGATATTTAATCTTTTAATATGGAATATTCTCAGCCAATGATGATATAATAAGTTGATAATATATTGTTTGAGGCCGTGTGCTCCTTGTCATGATCGGATTGACCATAAAACTTGCAAAATGATGACTTTAAACGAGACCGTTTTTCAATAGCTTGCCTCATTTTAGAAATTGATCATACGTAGAGCATGCTCTTGCGTACCGAATCAAATAAGAGACATAAATCCCCTGAGAGATATACACCCCATATGCAGGTGATAAGGGCATATTGCTGTATAAGTAGGGGAAGGTGACGATTGAAATCTTAAAGTCATCACTTTTTTCATAAAGCTTTGATGTTAGATTACCATTAACGTCTTTTCTAGTAAAATTTGAAACGGATGTGTCACACTCTGTGGTGTCTTTTATTTCAAGTTCACTGGGATATATCGTGTCGACATATGAATGGAAATAACTATTGTTAATTGATAATACGTCGTCGATATATCGAAATATCGAGTTGAAAACCACAGCAAGATATTTCTTTTTCTCATGTATAAGATTTTGAATAAATTCTACTTCATACGAACACAAAAATTAGTGTTTTAATGATAATTTCATAAAAAAGGAATGGAGCGATAAAAACCAATGATATAAAGCATATTATGAATATTTGTACAGTGTTTTTCAAAAGACAAAATACAAGTGTATATTCTGAGAAAATAATTAACACACAGTCTAAAAATAAATAAACAATGTATGTAAAATATAGATGATAAATGTATTATTAACACATTTTTGACAACAATGTTAGAACAAATTTAAAAAGTGATATTGTATCGGAAGTTCAGTGAATGGTATGCTGTTATAAAATAGGCAATCATGTTTGATAATAAATTGATTTTCTGATATGAGTTAATGCAGTACGAATTGTTTCCGTTTTATGTCAGTTGGCTTGTCATTTTCGTTATCTGTAAGTTACATAGACTTTGGACAAACGGCATCTTTCGCAGTATCCGATGAGAAAAATTTTCTGATACTTTCATACAAATACCACTGCCTTCCAATATGAAGTCCCCTCTCTGTGATAACATCAGAAAGCCCCCCCCCCCCCACCCCCGAGGGTTGTACATTTCTCTTGAACAGCAACATGCTTGCCTAAATTCCCTCCTTCACCTCAATACTTCCAGGGTTGACAGCATGGAATTGGGAATAATGGTATCTATATAATTTTTCAAAGGTTTGAACAAATTCTGAGGAGATGTTTTCCAGTCATAAAACACCACTAGCTTCCCCTGGTCCTTAACAATCTGTTGAATGTTGTGTCCATTTTAACTTTACGTATGAACTGATTCTGCTACCTGAAAAAAAAATATATAAAAAATTCTTGTCTTTCAATCAAAAACATTATTTGATAATTTTGAAAGTATGACTTTGGCAACATTTGGCAACATATAAATACTGCTTCATGAAGTTATTTGTATCTATACATTTACCTCTGTTTCTACATTTAAGTTTCTACAATTTAGTTTCCATATTCTAAAGTGCCAAACTGGTTCAATCAATCTGACCGTGACTGACAAATGGGACACAGATGCGGCATAAATGTTAAAGAGAAAAAAACTTCATAAAGTCTATGTGTTTTCTTATAACGCGGATTTCATGTAGAAAATATCTTATCTTTCTCTTTTCATCTTTGGTTTTTTATTATTTTAAAGATTTTTAAAAGTGGTCCAATTTAGGTCAATGTTAAAAGGTAAAAAAAAATATTTGTATCTCAGGAAAAGGTAAAAAAATATTTGTATCTCAGGAAAAGTCTCGACAAAAGAAATACACCTGTGAAATTTAAAAGCCCGACCCGAAAAGAAATACACCTGTGAAATTTAAAAGCCCGAAAATTCGTCAAACTCCAATGTCAAGTGGTCAAATATCTTGGTACCCCAAAATAGTCTTGTCACAAGAAATATACCTTTGAAATAAGAAAGTCATAGCTTCAGCCAATCAAAAGTTATGGACAAGGTTTTAATTGTTTGTGGACAAACAAATAAACAGATAAACAGACACACAAACCGACCAACCAACGGACGGACACAAACCGACCAACAGACACACAAACCGACCAACCAACGGACGGACACAAGCCGACCAACAGACACACAAACCGACCAACCAACGGACGGACAGGGGAAAAACTATGTGCATCATAATCTTCGAGGGCATAAAAATAACTCTATGCCACCAGGAGTTATAACATTTTTCATATACGCTCATAAATTTCCTAATTTAAGAATTTTTTTAATGAATAGAATTTTTGGAAACATTGCATACGTAATTAAAGAGGAAACAGTAGTCAAGTATATATAAAAAAATAAACGAAGTTAAATTATTTCTAATTAAAAGTTCTTCAGTTTATTTTATGTGCTTAGTTCTATGGTAAGCATTCTATACTGTTCTTTCTCCATAAATTTTTAGAGAGAAGATAAAGCAGGTGAGGGTGGAGAGAAATTTCGAAATTGATGTTGAAGGCCTGAGAAGGTTAAAAAGTTAGACAAACGATTTAAAAAGTTTCTAAATTTTGCATGCAACCATATGGAAAACTCGAGCCTAGTTTCCTGATCTAGTATTCTTATCGTTCATAGAAAGGTGTGCTATTATCAAATGTTTTTGGATAATATATATTTTTAAATATTTTTAAATGTTCATAGGAACAGAGAGCTAAAGCTATGTCTCTTAAAACACAGATTATTACAAATATTCATGGATCGATCTAGCTACAGCGTCATTATGTGGATCAGAAACCGTAACAAAAATACTATAGTTCACTTTTAGGTATTACAGGTATCAATCCTATTTTTGTTTTGTATACATATCCGCTGTTTGTTTTACGTCCCCTTGGTTACATGTAATTTTGTCCTCATTTTGAAAAACAATGAATTGCCTCAGAAGCCTTCAAATTTAATTCTATTTCAGTCCTTTATGGCCATTAGTCTGCAAGAAATTCTTTGTCTAGCACCGACAGCAATACGGTACTTAGGTAAATAAGTTCTCATTCGTTGGACGGATCCTCCTGTCCCAAGGTGGTATTCGAACTCGCAACGTAGGGATATTCTTTCTCCTCGATACTACAAAATAAAGCTCTCACTAATGTGCCTTGCAGGCGATTGTTCACAGAGATAAAAACTGAAAACAGAATGAAGGTGTTTGATACAGAACGTCAACTCTTGGAAGAAGTAAGAAGAAAAACTTCTCTACAAAAGAATTCAAATCTTGATTTACCTAACATAAATGAATATGGAAGAACTTGAAAGTACTCACATTCGTTTATTTTTTTTTTAATGAATATTGCTTGAACTGACTTAGTTATTATGTAATAAAATGAGGATCGGTGTAAGCTATGATTAAATGGCCATTATACCACAGGAAAATATTTGACATTTTACGCAATGGTTGTATTGCAGAATAAAGGTTTAATTGATAATGATGGAGAAACAGGATAACGTCATTGGTAGTCATAAACAACACATTGTATCAGAATATCGAAAACAGGATAAACCAAGTGTTATTTAAGTGAAACTACTCTTTCATTAGAGAATTTGTAAGACATACATGTGTATGGGTTCTATTTACAGGTTTTAACATAGCTAACAACAAAAAAGAGCCGGTGCAACGAAGCCAGTTTGCAAAGTGTGCTAAGTGTTACCCAATAAATACACAGAGAGGTATGTTGATTAAAACTCCGTCAAAGATGAAAAGTGTATCTTTTTCATATTAGCAAAAATATTAATGCGTTTTCTTTAAATTATTCTTTTTGTTTAGTTTGTATGAAATAATGTCACAAAATTCATGCAAATGTGATTAATCTTCTTTTGACAGACAGCTTTTCTTGAAATGGCATCTTATAAAAGAATTATGGTAAACACATCCTTACCATTCAAATGGAATCCAACAACTTTTGATAAAGAAACAACACTGAATCACACTTATAGTGAATTTCGGTATTCAATGTCGCCGTTAACGGTACAACCTCTTCAGAAATTTTGGAACGAAACTCAGAACTTCTCTGCTGAACATAATTACGATGGATATTATAACAAGGATGCCACAGTATCATTAAAATTCTTTTTGATCGATTCCAGAAGGATTGATTTGACATCGGAAAGATTTCAAAAATCTATCGTAGGGCTGTCACTGATACTTGGATTGTTGGGTTTCCTAGGAAATGTTGTTACCATCAGCAAAATTTTGTGCGATAAAAAGCTTCATACTCCTACATATGTTGCCATTGGGTGCCTTGCTTTTCCAGATACTCTCAATATCGTCACTTTGTATCTGACTAAATTTTCTAACCTAGCTTTATATGCTGCACAAAAATATGTTTTTTTCGGAAGTATTTTCGAGTTCATAACTGTTAATTTCCTATTTGAAACGATTGCTTATAGTTCTAGTTCACACATTATATTCCTATCTATTATCAGATATTTATTGACTGTCCATCCTTTACGAAGCAAAGTAAGAATCACTGCGTCATTTGTAATGTGTTGTTCTGTTGTGGTTTGGATTCTTTGTTTAGTACCTTCGACGTTAACTCTTTTAATGATATTATGGTCTGGTAGATATTCAATTGATAAAATGAGAATAACCTCAATCCCATTTGTACTTATGCGTGTTGCTTTATGTGGATTAATTCCGATCTGTGTAATCATTGCTTTACATTTACTGAAGATGAAAGCCCTTAGAAAATCTTCTGTCACAAACAGCATCAGTAAAAGAATGGATGTTATAATTTCCATAATATTATCAGTTTTTATCTGCTATCAAATCTCAAAATTACTATTCTCCGTTGTTGCATTATCTTTACTTTTTTCAATGGAAAACAGTCCGTTTTCTATAACCCATCATGCATACACATTTGACATTGCTGTCCTCTTTGGTTTCCTGAATTTTTCTTGTTATCCCTATATACTCTTTTTATCTTCAATGATCCTTACATACAATAAAAGTAGTCAAACAAAGAAACCGTAGTTCTTTACACAAATTACGCTCAAACCGAGATTTGACCGAGATATCCAAGGATTCGAGATATCTAAGGAAGAATACTTAAAGAAAAGGACTTTGGGACTTCCAAAATCCCCTCGACATATCCATGGTATTCGACTTATCCCGTGTTTGAGATACCGAAGTTCAACTGTAGTTCCGTTGGATTGTAAAACGTGTCATTTTATAACTATAATAAATCTGCTTTATTATTCAGCAAAAACTTGAATAATACTTCAGATGCCACCTGCAGAAAGATATTTTATTTATCTAATGTTATTGATATATTGATATTGCTTCTGCCTAATAAACAATGATTTTTGAAGTATTTAAACTTTCCTTCGTAAACAGGTATTTTTTCTCAATGAATCAGATTTCTAACAGATATTCATTTGTTTATTCTTCTGACCTTAGGATAAAATACGAGATGTAATAGCATTCATCATTATTATACCTAAGATTTATTCACAACTGTTGAGGAAATATTATACACTGAAGAACAGAGAACTTCATGGTGTTCTACATAAGTTAACTTATAAGCGATGGTTTTATTACACCGACTATTTTCTAAACTTAGGTAAAAGATTTATGTTTATATTTAAAAAAAAAAACCTGGAATATCATTTATATATGTCAAAATAATGTCTTTAGCAACAAAATCTTATAAATGCTATTAGATCTCAGTATTAAATTAAAAAAAAAAGATTACAGAAAAACACAATTGTTAAAGGATTGAACATGCACAGAATTGTTATTACAAGAAGCATAAATAAAACACCCAAATATATAGAAACATATACGAATAGCTAGTATTGAGTGAGACACTAAATCGGAAAAAACGAAATATACTGTATTATTAATATAGCCAGTTTTAATTAGGGTTTGACGGTTGATTTCGTTAAAAAACAAAAGATATTTTGCATGATAAAAGGACACATGATTAAAAGAACGAGACGATCGGTGCTGCAGAGGCACTGCTCTGTGTGTGAATGAGGACTTGATTATATAATAAAGATATGTAAATGCAATTCAATATCAATACCATTTGACCAGTATTACGAAATGTTAAAAGGTACACAAAGATAGATTTATGATTAAGGATTATTCCTCAAATAAGAAAATGTTACTGTACTGTGGGAAAAGGCGTGCATTTCCTTCTTGACCTCAGTTTGTGTTCTGAGACCTTAGACATTGTTGAAAATTGTACAGAAGTGAACTTAGAAGAGATACTTTCATTTTGATTTTACGTACAACAAAGGTCGACCATAAGGAATACGGCATAGCGAACATAAGCTTTCATTATCAAATATGGAGATAACGAACAGTTTTCAAGTATTCAAGTCCATTTAAACAATACAAATCAAAAGCGGAGCAATCACGGACCTCTAAAACATTAGAAGTTGGATCAGTTGCCATGGAAGAGTGAGCATCCACTGCCGAACGGTCACATCAGCTGAGCTAGTGCTCCTTGACATGATCGGCAAATAATGGAAAAATCCATAGATAATTTAATGCGTAATTAATGGCCTAACAATTAGTATGAAAAAACGTCTATCAGCATTTGACTTAATGATAGATCGTACTTGCTGACAAGGTCATTGTATCGACAACAGGACTTGCAAAATGATGAATTTAAACGATACTGTTGATATTCTTGTTTCATCAACTTTCCACGTTTTAGGAATTGTCCGTACGCAGAGCGTGCTCTTGCATATAGAATCAACTGAAAAATGTAAACCCCATATGCAGGTGATAAAAGTTTATCGCTACATAAGGAAGGCAATGTAATATCATGTACCCAGTAGTGTTTCAGCCCTGATATCCCTGTCTCAGTCCCTTGTCAAGGGGCTGTTTCCCCCTCAAATTTCCATCCATTATGTCTGTGAATTTAGAGTAAAACATGTATTTAAGTGTTCAAGAAAAATATTATGTTCTTCACGAAATATTAACATTACAATTTACAAAAAAACTCATTCTTCAACCAAGAAATCAATCCCAGGCTCTTTATTATCATAGACACCTGCTTTTTCAATAAAAACTGAAGTCGAAAAGAGGTAGGGGCTCCAAGGGTCAAAATCGGCCCCATCTAAGAAATAATATTTTTCTGATTATAAGCTGCTGATGACTATTTTTTTTAAATAACATCAAATTGTTCGAGATAGTCAATTTAAGGAAAAAATTAAAGCATAAACTAGAGATTATTACAAAGTCAATAACATTAAATATCTTCACTACGTAATACTCAGTGTGCACACAATTAACTTCCTTACTGGTCATTGAGTTAGTCACACTCATTAATATAAGTGAACACATTAACAGTCTATATTTTATAAGTTGTTAAAAAAATCCTTTGCTACAATATTACGATGATAATCTAATGGTTGTCATAGCAACCAACTTTATGTTCAGAAATACGTCTCTGACTGCATTAGTAACAGGAAAGAAATTTTTCAAAAACTTTACATTTTTAGCCAATTTTAAAATGCATGTTGAAGTGTTTTGTTGCCAAGTAGAGGTTATCAGGAAATTAATATGAAAAATTCTTACATCTGTGTCAATTCAATAATTCATCTAAATATTACAATTCTTCTTAATAAGGGGTTTATGTAATATCGTCCATGAAATATGGCTTTACAGCCTTATAGGATTTTTAAGTACTTGTGGTTTTGAATAAACAACTAATTATTCTTTTGATTTACATGCTTTTATAGAGTGAACGTTTCTAAACCTTCATTTCTTATTTATTTTGATAATACGCAAGATACATTATAATCAAGCACATAGACGCGGGTGGAGTTGTGAATGCACCCCTCCTAATTACAATGGAGGGTAATCGTGTTCAGAAATCCAGACTTGTAAGTTTGTAAATCCAAACTTGCAATCGTATCAGTTTCATAGGTTACATACATGTATACCAGTAGGAAATTCCGACATCCAAGCATGTAGTTTCTCATTATCAAAATTTGACAAACGTGTACCTTTTACATTTATAGTTTGTGAATTGTCTTTGTGTTTCATTCAGAGCGCGGCAATGTAGATTCCGGAAATCAATGTTTACAACATCAAAAATACACATATTCATATTATAAACTCAAAGTCAACACAGTTTATGTTCGGAACTACATGCTAGGATGTCGAAATTACCTACTGACATATGTAGACTATGAAACTGGTACAATGGCAAGTTTGGATACATTTAACATTAATTGTTTTATCAGCGTTAAAGTCTACACCCCAAGAATTTGACCAATTCTTTATTTTCAAGATCGGCCGTAAGAGATAATGTAGAAGTAATGATATCATCGTCTACTATAGCAAAAATGATGTATCATCCGAACGGATAACATTATGCATGCCTTCGGTTATCATTAATGTTTATTATACCTCTTTTAAGAATACTCAAATTTGATTGGCTTGTTAGAAGGCTTTTAAACTCAATAATGACTCCAAAAAGTACAGTTTACAGCAATAATGACCTAGGAATCATTGCACGTGGGATATAATGACCCGGTCGTTATAAATAATGACCGCTAAAAATGACTTGATAATCTAAATTCCATTCAAATTAAAAATTCATGCATACAGTAATGATTGTTCATTGTTCAAAATGCCGTTATAAAAATATGTATAGTCTTTTTATGATACAGAATACGATTAACCTTTTGACTGTGTTAGATGCGTCATAAAATTTATCGTTTTCACTGAAACTTTCTTTGCAATGTCGAACGAATGCACACTCGGCTCTTTTGTACCGTAAAAGTCTGCACCAGATTGTCATTGAACTCGGGAATGGTATTTGTGAATTTATAAATATGCATGTTACTGACAATCACAGATTGTTTTAATAAATCGGCGGTGCAAAAACTTACATGACTTGCAGGCGAAAAGTAAACAACTTCATCAGCGAACCCCGATCCCGATGAAACACTGATAATAACAGTTCGTAGGTCTAATACACAATTGATTATTTTAGTAATTAAGCCTACAAAAATTGTCTTCACTTTATATCGGTATAATAAAACAATTGATTACCCCTTATGAGTTCAACATGGTGAAATAAGAACCCTCGACCTGGCCCACTCGCTGACCTCGGCCGCTACGCGGCCTCGGTCAGGTCAGGTCATCTCGTGGGCCAGGTCGAGGGTCCTTATTTCACCATGTTGAACTCATAAGGGGTAATTAATTGTATATTGTTGACTTTTTGCCTGTCAATAAATATTTTGTTTGGTTGTACCCCTCCAAATAAAATTACTGAATATATAGATTGATTTTTTTTTCATTGTAAAATGAACAGAAACAATTATAGTTGTTATCTTATTTGAGTTGATCAAGAGTAAAGATTTTTGCAGTAGAAGATTGTATTTTTCTTTCAAAGTCTGCTTTTCAACAAAATTTCAATCTTCCTTCTCTAAATGTAATGCAGTACAATAGTGTTATTTGTGCTATTGCAAAATGCTTAAAAAATCTGGCAATTAAGAGAACAAAAATGAAGAAAAGTTGTCTGCATTATTTACCATTTTATTAGGTCACCTGAGTCACTCAGGTGACCTATTGCTATCTGTTTTCGTCCGTCGTCGTCCGTCGTCCGTCGTGCGTCGTGCGTCGTGTGTTAACATTTGAACATTTTCAGCTTCTTCTCTGAAACCGCTGAACCAATTTCAGCCAATTTTTGCATGTGGCATCTATGTGTGAAGGGGAACAAAATTTGTGAATTTCATGGTCCCTGCCCCCCTGGGGCCTGAGGGGTGGGGCTAAAACCATCAAAATTAATGCAATCTTTAAAAATCTTCTTCTTTACTCCTGGACATCAAGCAGTCAAACTGTTGACGTGATTGTAATAAGCATTGAGCCCTCTACCAAATTTGTGAAATTCATGGCCCCAGGGTCAGGGGTTCTGGTGCTAGGGCGGGGCTATATAGATCATATAGTGAAAGTGCATTATTTCTTTGAAAATCTTCTTCTCTACTCCTGGGTATTATTGAAACAAATTGAATACATAGTTATGATAAGCAAGGGTGACTCTACCAAAATTGTGAAATTCATGGCCCCAGGGTCAGGGGTTCTGGTGCTGGGGGGGGGGGGGCTCTATAGATCATATAGTGAAAGTGCATTATTTCTTTGAAAATCTTCTTTTCTACTCCTTGGTATTATTGAAACAAATTAAATACATATTTATGATAAGCAAGAGTGACTCTACCAAAATTGTGAAATTCATAGCCCCAGGGTAAGGGGTTCTGGTGCTGGGGGGGGGGGGGGGCTCTATAGATCATATAGTGAAAGTGCATTATTTCTTTGAAAATCTTCTTCTATACTCCTGGGTATTAT